CAGCAGCTATATGCTCTACTACAGCTTGCTGCGTGGTGGCGGGTAAACGTTTGCCGTTGACGCGCATCATGGGTTGGTTGCCACGCGGAGTCTCTGCCCCAACAACACCAGAAAACAGTCGCAAGAGTCGCGATACAGCTTCATGAATAAATTAAACGTGTATAGAAGGTTAAGAAAACAGCTGCAATCATCAAAATACACTCAGAATTAGCCTATGGGTGATGCGTTGAAGTTCTAAGAATACCCCTCGCCACTGCACGTGATGTAGCGTGCACGGCCTCGTTGTGCACCGCGGCGCGTAATGCACCAACATCAACATTGACGCGTACTTTGTAACCCCCTATAACTCAACACCACGATGCCGCTGGAAGAAGCCCTTGCAGAGCTAAATACTTTAGGCCCTACTAAAGACTTTTTGTACAGAAAGCTTGCTAAAAAACACAGTTGTTGTCACACAACATTAATCTGCAGGCACAAGGGCAAATGCGCGTCGCGTAAAGCTAAGGCAGAACACTAGATAGTTCTCTACCCACGCAATGAAGTAGAGGTTATGCAGTACATTAAATTGCTTACAGAGAGACACCTTATGCCTACAAGAAAGATTCTTGTTAGAATAATCAAGTTGTTGTGCAAGTAGGAGCCCTCTAATTGATAGGTCACGCGCTTCCTTCATCGCTACCCTGACAACCTTCTCACAGCCTGGAGCGCGCCTATGGAAAAGCAGCGCCACGACGCTGCTTCATACAATTCCTTTCGCTCATACTTTGATCTGCTGCACAGTACTATTGAGCAGCATTCAATACAGCCAGAGAACACGTACAATATGGATGAGAAGGGATTCATGATTAGAGTGATAAGCAAGGGCGTCAGAATCTTCAATAAGCAGCTCTTTAGACTCCAGAAATACAAGCTAGCATCTCATGATAGCAACAGGAAGTAGGTGACAGTGGTAGGAGCAATAGGAGCTGATAATTTTACGTTGCTGCCTGCAGTTATTTATCCTTTATCGTCTCTCCAGATGCAAGAGAGCTAGGTGCAGCGCGTTAAGGCCAAAAAACACAATATACACTTTAGTACCTCAGTAAATGGCTGGACGAACGATGCTCTTGGTGTTGCCTGGCTCAAGCAAGTGTTTGATTGCCATACAAGAGTGAGGGCGCGAGGGAAGTACAGACTCTTGATCCTTGATGGCCACGGCAGCCACGTCACGCAGGCCTTTATTGAATACGCTCATGCCAACAAGATTCTGCTACTTATATTCCCTCCGCATGCTACTCACGCGCTTCAGCCGCTTGATGTGGCGTGCTACAGGCCGTTGGCGCAGCACTACTCTGATGAGCTCCTTCATCGCGGCCACACCACCAAGGGGTAGGTACCTGTGGCTCAGGCTGACTTCTTCCCGCTTTTTTGGGCAGCGTGGAAGAAGACCTTCACTAAAGACCTTGTTGTACAGGCCTTCAAGTGCACTGGGATTCACCCACCAGATGCCAACGTCGTGCTCAAGAAGTTCAGAAACCCAACACCAAAGTCGCCCAGCACAACCCTAGAGCCTACTCAGCTTCAGCCTGCACCAGAATCACCTAGTTGGCGCAAGACGTTGCGGCTTCTTAAGCGTGCAAGAGAAGATAATGTACCTAGTGCTGCTGAGGCAGTTAATTAAGCCCTTCACCAACTCCACGTGCAATTAGAGATCTTAGAGGCTAGGGTTGATGGCCTAGAAGAGGCTCTAAAGGCTAATAAGAATAAGAAGAGGAAGCAGAAGGTACTACCTTTGCAACCTATTAATAGTAATAAGGGTAGTGGTGCAGTTCTCTAGAGTCCTTCACGCATTAAGCGCGCAAAGCAAGAACTCTAGGCAAAAGAGGACCTTGAGCGCGCTGCAGAGGCAGCAAAAGCTACTAAGAAGGAGCTTTAACACCAGAAGAAGATTATTCAAGCAAAGGAGAAGGAGGATAAGCGTGTAGAGCGAGAGAAGAAGAAGGTATTGACTGCTAAGGCACAGGCTGCGAAGCGCGCTTAAACTGAGGCTTGTAAAGAGGAGGCAAAGCACAAGAGCAACGCAAAAAAAAGTACTTAATTGCCTAAACAGGCTAAGAGCAAGGCCTCACAGAAATCTTAGTTAAAAGTAACAAAGAATTGTGGTGGTAGTGCTGTGCGTAGTTAGCGGGTGCCTCACAGGTCGCCCTCACCACTACCACCTACCATGGCATCTACTGGCCGCACCACGCGTCCTCCTAGAAAACTGTGGTAGCTAAAAGTTTTGCAAAAGTCTATTTAGTAATCCACTAAATTATCTTGTAATAGCAGCGTTGTGGTGTTGCTTAATAATCTTACTTGTTTTGGGGTACAAAAAGTAATGTTGGTGCATCACGCGCCGCGGTGCACAACGAGGCCGTGCACGTTACATGGTATTTCGAAAACCGTTATAGTCGTGCTAAGAGAAAATAGCTGGTTTGGTGATATGGCTGGCTTGGTGATAATCTACGTTATATATGTTAATAGAGTAGATAAAGCAGTATCTTAAGTATCTACTTTGCACGTACGTGAATTATGGCCAGTCTCTCTGCACCTCCTGCAGGGCGCTAGAGCCTGGCGGCTAAGGCCTGATTGATCTCCTCCTTGACGCTGCTCACGAGCAATCTGCTGGTCAGCCTCACGTTGAGCGAGTAGATCCTCTCCAGCTCCCTTTGTTAAGACCCCACTCTGCTGTATACGCTTTTTCTTACGCTGTTTGCGTGCTGACGCTGCCTCATTGGCTCTCTCAAGGCTGGTGATCCGATCACGCATCAGCTCAGCTGAGAGCATTATCACCTCAGCGCCCTTCTTAAGCTGGTTAATTGCTTCAATAATTGAGGCAGGTGATGAGCTCTTGTGCCAGCGCACGCGATCACGTATCAACGTTGATTGAGCCTCAAGCTCGCGTACGTTGCTTGGTGTACGAGCCTCCCAGAGGGCCTCTGGCAGAGCAACTGGAGTAGTCGTACGCAGCTGCACATCAAGCTTTGATAGAACAACGTCTGCCTGGAGAGGAACCAGGCCTGCGCCTCTAAACGCTGAGCAGATATTGTCTGGCGTAAACGATCGTGTAAAGGCTGCCTTAAACGCTGGCAGAAACTCAAGCTTAGTGATGTGGTTAATGTGGTGGCGGATCAGGCTCTCAACCTCACAGCTGTACGCGCGCTTCAACGGCGAGAAGCAGCCAATATCAAGAGGCTGAAGTAGATGAGATGAGTGAGGCGGCATGCAGAGTGTGTAGATATTGTTCTCCTTGCAGAGCTCTTGAAACTCAAGAGAGTGGTGGCTCTCATGGCCATCAAGGACAAGCAGGCGACGCGCACCAACAACGTGAGTCTTTGTACATGTAAGCATTGAAGTGCTTTAGCCACTTTACTCCTAGCTCGTTATTTGTCCAGCCATTTTCGCTAACTGCGATCACCCAGTCGCGTGGGATCTCTGCTTCCTCATACTAGGCAGATAGATGATACTGGCCAGCGAAGATGAGGAACGGTAGTACTGACCAGCCAGCAGCGTTGATCGCAGCAATCAACGTCACCTACTTGCAATTGCCTGGCTGAATAGCCTTTGACCGACCTCTCCTCTCTGGCCCTATCACAACAAGCTAAGTTGTGATCTTGCCTATTATAAAGCCTGCCTTGTTAAAGTTGTAGACGTTATCATCACAGATGCTGTACCTGGCCTTTGTCTGCTCTACAAGCTCAAACTACTAACTAATTAGGGCTAGATCCTTGCATAGAGCTCTCTGTCTATTGTACGCTTGATTGAAACGCGTTGTGAGACTGTCTGTACGCTTGACAAAGGTAGATGGCCAGTTAACTCCTACGCGTCCTCTGCCGCGCGCAGCGAGCAGCTTATCAGCCATATCACGTACAGCTGCGCAAGTAGGCGCAAATCCACGTTGGTCTAGATCCAATATATAGCGGATAATCACCTGCTCCTCTGGCTCAGTGAGCTTCTTTAAGTTGGGCTGGCAATCGCGTCGGGCAGGTATACCAGCGCGTCGGCGGCGGATTGTTCGTTCAGACACGCTAAAGATAGTAGCAGCCCTGCGATTGCTCTGTATTTGATGGGAACTGATAGAGGAGATAGCAAGCTGAACGTCTGCTTCATTTGAAGCTAATAGAGCAGCGCTGCGTTGAGCCATTGTACGTTGAGATGAGAGAGGTGCGCAAGTTTGGTGGGGTGCGGCGCTCGCCCGTGTGCGGCGCTCGCCTGTGGAATACGTTAGGGTAACATAACGTACCTCACGGGCGAGCGGCGCACACGGGCGAGCGGCGCACTTTTGCCAAGACCCCACCAAAACTCACCCTATTATAGCCTAAAACACTACAAACTGGCACTGCATAAGGCAAAATAAGCTGTAATATTATTTAGAGACCTCTTCTACTTTATTCTTACATGTTTGCGTGTTGTGCCTACCCTCTCCGCACTGTCTACAGCGTTGTTAGGATGGTTCACCTCCTTTAGCGCGCACCTGCTTCTTGCCCTTCTTTCCATCACTACGCGCGCCAAACTCCTTCAGGGCAGTCAACCGCTGGCCTTCCTTAACTGTAAGGCTTCCCCCTGCTTAGACACGCGTTCTTTTGCGCGATTTACGTTCTGTAGCAGCTGCTAGAGCTGCGTGAAGCTTAGCGTTCTCTTGTTGTGCTAAAACTAGCTTGTGCAATAGAATTGCTCCTCCCTTTGCGTAGTGCTCAAGCGCGCTTAGCACAGAATTTGGTAAGCTGCCCTGCTCCTTCTTATACTTCTCTTAAACTAAAGTTAATTGCGACTAAAGTTCTAGGGTATTGCTAGGGTATGTTGTTAGTAGGGAGTGGTGGTGATAGCGTCTGCAGCTTTACATTAAGGGTTAATATAACCTGTTCTAGGTTAAAAGGGACTAATCCAGCCCCTTAGAACCCTCCCTAGATATTGCTAGGGGTAATGGCTTTCTTGTAAGCTGCTTTAAAGCATGGCAGGAACTCCTGCTTTGTGATGTGGTTAATCTGGTTGTGTATAAGCTGATTAACCTTAACCCCATACGCCCTCTTCAGAGGGGCAAAACAACCCACGTCAAGTGGCTGCAGGAGGTGCGACAAGTGCGCAGGCATGCATAGAGGTACAATCTTGTGATCCTTACAGTTGTCAGATAAGAGCGAGCGGCGAGAGGTCGGATCTGCGCAATCGAGCAGGGACCTGTCGCGCAGCCAATCAGGAGTTGCCAGGTCGATTGAGCTAGACCTGGCAACTCCTGATTGGCCCTCACATAGGCGGCCGCGAACAGCGCCAATTCCCGCCCCCTTCAATCCCGTAGCAGTCAGCACATACTCTGGCTCACAATACAAGAACCTGGCACATTGTCACAATTATTAATAAATTATTATACCACCCAAGATCTTGTTAAGCACATAACGTACCCCACGGGCGAGTCGGACACACGGGCGAGTCAGACACTTTTGCCAAGACCCTACTAAACCTCACCCTATTATGGCCCAAAACACCACACTCTAGCGCTGCAAGGTGCAGTACAGCTTAGAATATTATTTAGAGACTACTTCTACATTATTCTTGCACGTTCG